CTTCGTGATGGTTTTTTCCGTGTGTTGCATGACCATAAACCCTCAAACAATTCAATGACACGTATTCAGCCACAATGAAAACGATGGATTAGGTAAGGGACAAGACTTGATACGTATAAGACAGATCACCTCTGAAAAATTCCTAAAATTCTCGACTCGAACTCGAATTAGGATCCTTCAAAATGGCAGGCTGATGCCTTTTCTACCTCGGCGATATGGTCTTTATACACTGTTAGTAAGAATAAAAGAAATGTGAAGGAAACAAACGTAATTAGCTACCACTAAATGTTGGACCTGAAACCTGTCTAAAACGAAAGCCTGCCTAAACTGGATAAATTTTTTTTGGAACGGAACGATTTTCTATGTTAAAAACAAAACCTGTTCAAAGCTGAAACCTGCCGTACCGTGCTATTCCGGTTTTACTGTAGCAGAAGTACGGGTATAGTCTTATAATTTTTTATGTAGAAGTTAGTAAAATATTTAAAATACAACTGGATGTTATAATTTAAATAACACAAATTATAAATTCAAAAAAAAATTAGGTATTGATTCTCTTTATCTGGGTCACGTTTACTTCGTTCGTGAATTTCCAACTAGTTGAAACACGAACTCTTGGAACGTTTACATATAAATGAGCTTTCAAATAAAAAGGAAATAACGTAAAACGATTCAAATTTTATTATAATATCAAACAAAGGAATAATACTAACAAGTGAGATTACACAAATTGAAAACATAAATAATAATTTTCGTACCCCAGATATGAATTTAATAATAAAAATCGAATGGTTGATATAAATCTTCTTAACTCAATGGTAACAGTCATTTAGTTTGATTTTATAATACTAAGCGCTAAAATTAATACAATGAAATCTATATAAACGGAACCGTGCGATTCCTGTTTACACTGGTTTTACTCTATAAGTTACAAAAGTAAAACCTGCGTAAACCGAAATCTTACAGTACCGAATATTTCTCCGGTTTGGCAGCTTTCCGTTTTGAGCAGTTTTCCATTTAAGGCATGTTTTAATGCGCTTAACTATCCAATTTACAGGAGTTTTTATGAGTCATATTACAGTAGACCCCCTATAACACTGTTGATAATTCCGTTTTTTATATGAACGCCATGTTGTACGAGTCACTTAGATTTTACAAATACGTGTGCCGGGATGTGAACGGTTCACGAATTTGTAAAATCTAAGTGACTCGTACAACATGGAATTCATATAAAACGGAAAAATCTACAGTGTTATGGGGAGTCTACTCTATATCACTTTGATGGACAGTTCTGCAATTCGTTTCTTTATTCATAATGCCACTTACAAGTTAGTGCCTTATTTTTGTAGTCAAAATTTAAAAATTTTCGGTAATTTACCGGTAAAAAACCGTAAATTTAAAAAAGTCGATAAATTTGCAGCTCTTAATCGGGAACATTTATTCAAACTTCATTACGTATTTCGGTATACAAGCTTTTATCAGTCCATTGAATAATTGGAATATTCAATAAGCGATTCCTGATTATCAACTCTCGATTTACCGGTTTGTGGATTTTTCGTGGTCAGAAGCATAGTAATTGTCAAGTAATTTGCGGAATTCGAAATATCCTGGTTAGCGAATCCTAATTATCCCGATAAATCGGAAGTTGACTATATATAAATATAACGAATTGTATTTATTTCACTCACTTAATGGAGACACGACAATTCTTTTAATTGATTTTGTTACAAAAACTAGTATTGCTTTGCTTTTTCTACAAAGTACAGGCTTCGTAATTTACCACAAAGCATTTATAAATGACTAATTCAATCCATAACTAGAAAAAAAATCACAACTTTATTAGTAATTTATAAAAAAAAAACGAACAAAATTTATTGTAACATCCTCACAACGCCGGGCTGCAATTTTTAATTTATTTAATTTAAAATATATGCTCTCGATCTCAAATTAGTAATGTCTTATCCCTGTACATCATACTTTTAAAATATACAATTATTTCAGTGTATATCGCATAATTGCCGGAACCAACGATAAAGGCACTAAAATGAACTTGATATTAATGGTTTTATTGTGAAGGTCAAGACATTTTAGAATTTTAACAGTAATTAAAACATTATAATATTGATATTTATTAACATGAAAGATAAATTTCGAAATGATTTAATTAAATCTTATCACAAAAATTCTTCATTTAAAAATATTATTAAAATCGCTCTTCAATTATAAAACATTATCATCTTCACTTCATTAATGGATATTAATGAAATTAAACGTTTGTTTATTATATTTTATATTAACTGTTGTTAATATAAAAGAAGTTATTAAAATGAAGAGACAATTAATTATCATTAAAAGAAGATAATGTTACAGTTGTTATGAATAATACAGATGTACTGAACAATATAATAATTCGAGGAGAGCCAATACAGCTCTGTATATATGAATAAAAAAACTAATTTATTAAAGAAATTTTTTAAAGAATTTATATACAAAATATAAACAGATATACAGTAACTATAGTGTATTAATGAAAGAAGAAAGAAAAAACAAGAAAAAAAGAAGGGAAAAGGGGGAAAGAGAAAAAGAATAGAGAGAAATGGGTGAAGTGGAAGAAGAAGAAGAGAGAGAAGGTGGTAAAAGAGAAAAAGATTAGACGGAAGAATAGTAAAACATTAACATATAGTACCCATTTTCAAAGTATGACTAACAAAAGATGAAAACAGAAGACGAGTAATATAATATTAAAAAATAGAAAATTATCGAGGTTTTTGAACAGAGATATGATTTACTTAAACAAAAGATTTTAGAATGATCGATAAAGCAAACAAAAAATTCATCTCATTTCTAAGACGTTACTATTGAAGAAAGAACGATGAGAATAAAAACAAACGTTAAAGTATTGCTTCTATTAGTGAGAAATTGATAATCCTAAATTAAATTTTATCGCCTAATTTAATTTTTATCGTATTATATAAATTATCCGCAAAAAATATTGTTGTTTATTATATCTTTTCTTACACTTTAACAATATTATTTTTATGTTTTTATTTATTTATTTAAATTTTTTGATAATTATTTTTTATTTAATTAATATAAAAAATAAACTTTGCTATTGATAATTAAATTATATTAAAGACAAAATTCACATCACAGTTCTTCATTATAAAAGTAATTTATATTATTAAAAAAATTAATATCATAATTAAGTAAAGGCGAGAAATGTTTACCAAATTCACATTTCAAATCTAATTTTCTTAATAAATAAAAAAAAACAATTTTTTAAACGAATTTGTGCGTATTTTCTAATTAATTAATCGATATGAAGTTGTATCCAGTCCAATGTGAATTACAAAGAAATCTAACAAAAGAAAGTCCTCTACAAATTTTAATTAATTTTTTCAAAAAATTAAACTAAAAAATTATCACAAAATACCTCCAAAATGTTACTTTATACTCCTTAATTTTTTATTTCAAAATTTTTATTTTTAAATTCATAAAATAAATGCAAAGATGAGAGAAAAACTCTACGAAACACTAAAAATTTCTACTGTTATTTAAGATAGAAGATATAAATTAGTAAAAGTTGTTATAATATATAATTCGCTAAGTTAATTAATTACATTGTGAATATAATTAATTAATTTTCTAAATTAATTAAAGCTATTGTTTTGCAGTTATATGTTATAATAACCGCAACTGTAGATCTATACGTGTATGTAGTTTACACATACATAAAATCTGGTTGTAAAAGATAAAAGTATTATTAAATTACATGAATAAAAATTAAGAATATTTTATAAAAGATATAAATAAACATTTTTTAAAATTCTTAATTAATTTATTGCAAATTACTCGTATAATATAATATGAAATAGAATAATTATAGTAAAATAATAATATTTAATGTTATTAAAGTAATTCAAAAATTATATTTATTTATTAGATATAAGAAATTACAAATGTGGCAGATTCTGGAATTGTATCTTGAATATTTTTATTTTAAAAATCAATCAACAGTTTCCTTTTATCTTTGATTAAATTCAATTATTTCTTTGAAGAATTAAACGCTCCTTTATTAATATTTGCATAATCTAACGGGAATACTTAAGGATGTTTGCATTTTTATGGGATTGTTGCTTAATTTCCTTTCAATTTTAGATAAACTACTAGACGATTCTATTATAGATAAAGGAAAGAGCAAATTATTTTCTATACACGCTTGTTGGAATTAACAAGATTTTCTTCCACTCAGATGAAAGGAAGGGATATAAAATAATTCAATGGTTACTATTTTAACATACCATAGTGCGATAAATATAGTTTAATCATTTATCTTTAATATATTTTACTGTGGTGCATTACAAATAAATCATATGACGCAAATTGAACATCTTTTCCCTTTTAACTGAACTTTCAAGCTGCACGTGCCGCCCCCCACCTAAACTGTTAAACTGTAAAAATAAATTAATAGAGTTCGTTTAAAGGGGAAAGAAAATATTTGCAATTTAACAGGTGAGGACAATTTTTCCAGAGTAAAATTAGTTTTCATCATACTCAGGGTCCATGTCTCCCTTTTTAAAACCATTCTTGTTAATTGTCTTATAATCTTTAAGCGGTGTTAATTAACATTTAGTATGTAAGATAATATGATTTTTCTATGGAAGGGATGAAGTTTAGCTAAAATGGGAAGATCTTTTTCCAGTATTTATTCTATCATTAATTTATAATGAACTTTCATTCACAATGGTTAGATGATTATGGCTACGCTAAACATGGGTAATCTGTCTAGGGGAGTGGTCTTTTATGGGAAATTTGCCCATTTTTAGAAGTTACACAAGTGAAGAAAAACCCCTAAAATACTCCAACATGATGCGTTAGTGAGGGCGAACCTACGACCAACTGTCAGTATGGTTTTTTTACACTGGTGGGCAGTTTTTATTCATATTAAACCTACGTTATAAGGGTATCAATTATAGGAGCAAAAGAAAAGATTTTTTACTTACTTCGAGTCATTTGATAAGAATTCTTAACCAGATTATCGAATGGATTATCCCCGTAACCATGAAGATAAGTCTCTTTCCACGTGTCGACGTATCGTATTTCAATTCCTTGTGATTGCAAAGTTTGTCGGATTGTCTTTGCTACTTTAGCAAAATCATGATCTGATGTACTGGAATATAATAATGCGATCTTTTTCCATCGAAATGCTCGAAGTACAGAAGCAACTGACTTTGAAATCTGTGTATCGGGTGGTCTCGTCCTTGCAAACGTTGGGTATAATTGTTTGTTGGATGTTTCATAATGAGCGCAGAACTGTAAAAAACAATTCAATTATTGAAATTTTTAAAATGTTTCTCGTTGTTTATTATTTTAAATTTTTAAAATGTTTATTTATCAAGTTTATAAACTTGATAAATAAATTATACTTAAAAATTCATATTTATTAATTATTCACAGGTTAAAACTTAATTACTCTGTTTACTGTAACTGTGATCACGTGCATATTGTGACGAAATAGAATAAGATCCCAATAAATATACAAGTTTGACATTAATTGGATCCGAACCCTCGAGTTTTTGTAATGTTCAAATATTTTTTAGGCATTACTTTTCGTATTTAAATAAGTTAATCATTTATACCTTAATTTGCACTCATGGTTCAAAACATTCCAAGATATATGATAATAAACAAAATAATTGAATGAATAACGCTAACTCATTTAATTATTTTAGTTATTCTCGCACATTCTGTTTACTGACATTTTTATCACGAATATAACATATAAACTAAATTTGCAGGTATATTTTATATTTAGAATAACGAATAAAGTTAATAAACTATTTATAAAAATATGATAGAAACTAGAATAGGAATATATCTGAGAAATAAATAATTTATTTTCAATTGTAGTTATCATTACTTATTGACGAAAGATAAATGAATATGAAAAATGATAAAAGTTTAATTATATAAAATAATTATATTTGTAGAGAATTTCAAATATTTATTAACGTAAATTTACAATCTAATAAATATCATCAATCTATGACAATTATAATTAATAAGTACAACTAACAGAACATTAATTAGTGATTTGTTTCATATAATTTATATTACAATATGTCATATCTTCTTATTAATCACGAATATAATTGTTAACTAATTAAATTACTGATATTTAAATCTGGATAACATTTTTCTAACTAATACACATTTGCAAATGTTTTTTAATTATAAATTTTTCTAATTAATTTCTATAATTATTTTCTAAAATTTTTTAAATTAATAGATAAGATTTAAAGAAAATTATGCGAGTAATTAATTTAATTACATTTATTATCTATAATTAATTATAAACTTAAAATGCAGTTATTTACAAAAAAGGCATACACGATGAATGAATGATGAAACCAAAATTTATTAGTGAGAACGTAACAATGACGGTAATAATTGATTACATTACCATAGCAAAGGGACGATTTCCTGTGCAACAACAATACAATTTAAAGAAATCTTTAGTACCACGCTCTTGCTTGAATACATTTGGCTATACGATCGAGCATAAAAGCATACAGTCACCGCGTGCTATCCTGCACAATATTTGCTCACAGATGTTGCAAATGCCTCTCCAGTTTCTTCATACTCGTAGATGACCAAAGTTTGCATCCCGTCTAGTCCCAAAAATACTCGATGGATCACAAATCTGAAAACTCTGAACCATTGCCACGTGGCAAAATGGCAACGTGACAGAGACATTCCTGAGAAATTGTAGCTGTGTGCGGCAGAACATTGTCTTGCCGGAAAATGGCTATTTTAAGGCACTCTGATGGCATTACCTGTTGTTCAATGGGAGCATAACTGTAATCATTTGCATACCTGTACGAGACATAGTTGTATGCTGAGTTCTGTAGTAATCAAACAATGTATATTGAATATACAGTTAACAGAGAGATATTTCGATTGATTAATGGCTGTATTTAATAAAAATAAGAATTAATTTTAACATATTCTTATTTTTTAACATTAAAAATTTCATAAGATTATCTGTTAAGAAGAAGCACGTTTGAAATAAAATTAAAAAATTTTATGAAAAATAATTATTTTATGAAGAAACTTATTACAAAACATCTCAATCAAAATTTACATCTTAAAATCTTTCAAATGAATTATGCACAAATAGTCATTATTTTTGTATAAAACATGCAGTTCATTACACTTAATTCATAGTTTGATGTTCACTTACACTAATAATATCCGATGTATTTCATATAATTTCACTTTTAATTGATCTGTTAATGATGCTTTTAGTAAATTTCAAGCATTAGCTATAATATTTATCCGGACAATTTCTATGCACTAGTTTCATGAAAATAAATTAAAAGAAAATTAGCTTATTGCATATGACATTAAATCTTATGTGAAGCAATGAAAAAGTTTAAAGAAATACAGTAGATTTTATATATTATAAATTTAAATCACCTAACATAAGCGATGAATTTTCTCTTAATGAAGAAGCTAGAGGCAAATTTGGAAGACTGAAAATTCTTGTATTTTACTGAAATTTCCATAAGATAAACTGTTTTCGGAGCTTGTATATTCTGTTATTGATCTTTACACTTTTCGAGAGATCTTCCCAATCAATTTGGTCCGTATTCTAGAATGTAGAATATTATGGATCTCTATTTGATTTAAACTCTTGAGTATGAAAGCGTGAATGCGATAATATTCATGCACAATAATGTTTTCCCTGTTGCATTATATGTTTTTTAAACGCATCACCCGTATCAAATATGTGTTTGGGATATTCTTTACTGCATTAAGAAGCATTACAATAAAAAATTATCTATTTTCTATACCCTTTAACCTTGACGTTTTCCGAAGAACATTATCTTTCGTGACAGCATCGTCACTTTATTAAATTTAATAATGCCAGAGCAATTATAGTTTTAATATATCAATAACATTTCTAAATGTCACAAAATATAGTAAAATATATTGTTCACAATTACAGTATGCTGCAGATAGACTGCACAGTACTAGAGAACTTAAAGGATTCTTAGCAATAGTTATCAGTAATAGTTCTCAATAGGAAATATATATTTTATTAATGCTAATACAGTGGTACCTCAGGATACGAACGCCCCAGCATACGAAATTTTCAGGATACGACATGAAATTCGAACATATTTTTGCTTCACGATACGAACAAAAACTCACCATACGACGTTACATTAGTTCGCATTTTTCATTTGTTTTCCTTACTACAGTTATTTTTTTAAATGTATTACTTGGCTTTAATTTGAGTATGTTTTTCGCGTTGGAACGAATTATTTGG